TTTTTTGCCTTTTCCCAATTACAGTCTGTACAGGCCAAAAAAGACTTAAAGATGCTCAGGGAGGAGGCAGCTCCTCAAAAAAGCAGAAAAGAAGCCACAAAACATCTGTGAGCAACAAAAAGAAGAGTAAAACTAGTAAGTACAGCTTATAAAATAAATATATAAAATAAAAGGTGTGGAAGTAGCATGTCATTTGTTCAAGTGATTGTAGGAGATGAAGTCAGTTAATAAAAAATGCATTAGGACAAAATGTTCTCATCAGGGAATTCTTAACACTGTTTAAATGAAGAAACTGCTCTACCTAAATGCCTGAGTGTTTTTAAATATCTTGTATTATTTCTGGGCCTATTTCTAAGAGCTCCTTAATATTTCACAATTCAGGAAAACCAAGAAGAGTGAGTATTTCACACATGGCAGAATTGGAACAGGTATCTCTGTATCATGATAGCTGCCTGCTTTGGAGGGGAGACTGGGACCTGAAGAAAATTATACTCTGTATTTTCTGCAAGATGAGTTTTTGGAGGTTAATATCTCTACCCTGTGGCAAATAAGAGAATAATTCCAGAAGAATATAGATTCTTGTTTTCTTCCTGTGCTATCTGTTACAATGTCATAGTTTGACATGGGAGTAATTTAGGGAAATCTATGGTAAATAATGAAGCTTTTTTTAGTTTTTTGTAGTTGTAGAAGCTAATTGGAATAGAAACAACAGTACTGGGTAAGGGAAGCTTAATAAAAGCAGAGGTGTGTTAGGGGTCATATGCACAGGTACTTGGGAGACAACAAGATCAATTGCTGCTTCATTTCACTGTTAATAAAAAAATACTAGGAAAGAGACTGAAGCCTGGAGGATAACTGTAAAAAATGGAGTTAAAGCAAGGATAAAAAGCATATGTCATGCTTTTTCTCCTCCCTCTCCCCCAGCTTCCCTCCCCTCTTTCTATTAGCAACTTTTACTAAAAGTCTGTACTTGATGGTCTGCTATTTGCTTTCACCCCACCTGTCTTTCATGTTCATTGATCTCCTCTTTATATTTTCTCATCCTTTTTAAATTCAATTTCACTGGTCTTCTCCTTTCACAATCCTTATTCCTAGAATAAAGATTATTCTCCTCACCCCAGAAATTGAAGTAACAAAACAAACTGAATTTGCAGAACAAATACACCATTTTTAGCCCTGCCTTTATTCCCTTGGATTTCGTGAATTTACCCCTTTTTCTCAACCTGTGTCATCATCAGTATGTGAAACTTCAAAGCTACTACCATGTAGTCGTGGTGTGTGCTCTTTTTGTTAGACTTAAGGCACTACTGGATGTAATTAGGAAAATGAATAGATAAAATGTGATTCAGCTGAAAGGAAAAAAAAAAAGCTTTTGGTAAAATTCCAATGTATCTGTTAAACTGCTTTTGTGGCAGCTTCAGCTCTTGCCTTTGCATTAAACCAACACCAACAAGCAGCTGACCAGGCTCTTTCACATTACATGTCTTGGGCATTCAGCCTCTAGCCTCTCCTGTGTAAATCACCAGATCATAAAGGCCAAAAGGTTCAGGGCTTATTTTGTCATCACCTGGGACAGGTACATCTGAGGAATAAATTTTTCTTAATAAATATAAATTCAATGTGTTTTTAAAAACAACTCTAACAATTGAGGTTCTGCAGATTTCCTAGGCATTTTATTCCACTGCTTTTCTAGACTTGTGTTAAATTACAATGGCTTGTGCCTGCTTTCATGTCAGTTTTATTATAGTAATGCTAAAAAACTTCTGCTTTTCAATCATTACTCATAAATCTTGCCTTTTAGATAGGTTATTTTGTTACTCTCTTTTGAGTGGTTTAATTGAAAATCTCTGTTCAGTTCAGCCTGTTGCTTTATAAAGTTCTTCTGGTTTGGGTCAGCAGAAGATCTTTTTCCAAAATTAAAAAATTGTATCATCATGTCTGACAAATTTGTAGAGTATGTCACAAGATGTTCAGATTGATAGTGATTTTAGTAGAGGAAAATTAAAATAAAGGTGATATAAGGCTAAGAAAAGGCTGTATTTGCTCTGATTTCTGCTATACATGTCCTAAAAATACAATCAAAGGTCTGTCTGTAACTAAAATGGGATAGAAGTTTATATATTGAATACTGCATTAGAAGTTGATGTCAGAAAGAGGTAAACAGGAGATCAGTCTTGTGAACCCTTAGAAAAAGTACAGCCCCATGAGCAGGCAGATGTGGTTCATTTTGTCCCCATTATATACCTGCTTTGTGCTTCAGTGATGCAAAGGGCATCAAAGCAAGTTTCTACACCAGGATGGAATCTGATGTTTTAAAGTAAAGGATTTAGGTGAAATAAATTCCCATTGTATGAAAATCAGCAGAGGTTGCTTCTGACAAGCTTTAGTTTGGGCTTTGTTTTGTAACAATGCTTTCTTGTTTCTTCAGCAAACAGCAGTGACAGTGATGAACTGTCTGCTGGTGAAAGTGTGTCCAAGTCCCAGTCGGCAAAATCGGTTTCTACTGGTATGAAATCTCACCAAACCAAATCACTCACAAGAACACAGTCTCCAGGAAAATGTGGTAAAAATGGAGAGAAGGAGTCTGATCTCAAAGAACAGAATAATCGTTTGCCCAAAGTTTACAAGTGGAGTTTTCAAATGTGTAAGTATTTTCTTGAAAACACACCTTGTGTAATCTTGTGGCATAGTGTAAAAAACTTTTTGAATGTTCTGTATTTTGGCTTTCTTATTTCCATCCTGAATTTGCTGAATCCTCATTTAAAAAAAAAAAAGGAAAACAAACAAATCCCACCCCCCCTTATTTTACAATTGCAGCACAAGGAACTGCCTGTGTCACACTTTTCCAGGACTGTTCTTAGATCTGGTTCCTGAGCTGCTTTCCTCTTCCTGTTGTGCTTTGCATACCTATCACTCTGGCATGAACATTATCTGCTCTGTGTGCTTCTTCTGTTGATATTTCCTTGCTGTTTTATTCCTCATTCTCTAGTTCCTGTTCAGACATTTAGGTGATTGATTCATAATATTTTCCCCATCCATTTTGCATTAATGAACCAGCACATGTTTGCTGTTTCTAGGATTAAGAACTTACACTCTGTTTGTTTCAAATAAGCTACTGGTGCAGCTAGGGTTGAGCCTGAAAAACAGATTAATTGTTTATTAATTCCCTCATATTAGTGCAACTTGCCAATTGAATCTTTGCTGGGTTTTATTTGGGGTTTTTTTTGGGGTTTTTTTTGGTAATTTCCTCCCCAGTCCTGAATGTCAGCATTAGTCTACTTTTAAATGTATTTTCTTCCCTAGTAGTTCTTCATAATCAAGGTACATTCTGGTGCTCTTCAGGAGTGTGTAATGTAAAAGGTCTTTATTATCACTTACTGCTCTGTTGAGATTCATTGAACACTTTCCTGGTGTGACACATTTGAGGGGCTTTTGCTCCTTCCTTTCTTTTTTTCCTTGGCTACACTACATGCTAAAGTTGCTTGGCAGAAGTTGGTCTATGGAGTGCTGTTTGACACATTTCCTGATGTAGCCAAGTCAGACACTTGAGCTTTCCTCATTTTCCCACAGCCTAATATAGTTGTGATTTTGGTCCTCATTACTAGTTGATGTAGTGCATTTTGCACCTTACAGCAGTTTAAATTATTCTTAAATGCTTTTGAATGGAGTGTCTCCAGTGTGGCTTCCTTGGACTGAACCAGGAGTTTCTCCTGCCTGTGCTGCTCACTGCTGTGTGCCATGGAGAGCTCCCAGCTGGAAACAGCCAGAGGGGCAGCTCCTGTGCTGGCCATATCCTATATGGTTTTTCCTTATGGCACATATGCCAGGGACTCCACCAGAACCACTCCACAGCTGTGCACATTCCTGTTGTAACCTGCTAGTTTTGTACCAAGACAAACAAGTCAGGCAAGGCTCATTTCCTGGTGTCTGGGGCCAAACTGAGCTCCAGCAAGGACTGAAAGCAACAGGCTCAAAGCTAGTTTTGGCCTGGATGTTTTCATCAGTTGTCTTATTTTTTTTTATCCTATTCCTCCTCATGGGGAAGGGAATGCATCTTTTTTCCTCTCCCAGTTCCTTAAAGAGTCACCAAAAATTGTATGGCAATATCTTGTAAAGCTGCTGCTGCTGTTGTTTCTTAGCTTTGCTGTGAGCTAGCTCGAAGCACATCACTAAGGTTGGAGTACCTTTCATTTCGCTGACATCGAGAAGTGTTTGGAAACGCTTCAATACAATAATTAACAGACTGTTTAACTTGCAGCTGACTTGGAAAATCTGACTAGTGCCGAGCGCATAACAGTTCTCCAAGAAAAATTGCAAGAAATAAGGAAACATTACTTGTCCTTGAAATCAGAGGTGGCTTCCATTGACCGAAGAAGAAAGCGCTTAAAGAAAAAAGAGCGGGAAAGTAAGTGCTGGAAATTAAATTCTGCTTTTTTGGGGCTTAATTGCGTGTTATATTAAGGTACTGGATAATTTGCTGGGAGATATGTCATTAGGAGTGTCTTTTTGTTTTGGTTTTGGGAAGTGCTGTGTGCAGGTAATTTATGACCATCAGAAGGATCAGATACCCAGTGACTGCAGAGAGGCAAGAGTTACCAACATGAGCAATCTGTTTAATACTCTTGAGGCATAACTACTTCATATGGGAAAAAATATGCAGAAAATAAACTTTTCTAAGCAGTGAACAAAGGGTATTAATAACTTCTACTTTTTCTTCAAGTTACAGATAAATTTTCTGTAGTGTTTCTTGTGGGCCTAGTTAGTGTTTTCCCCTTGGGATAAGGAGTTTATTCCATTACTTTAAGGGAGACCAGTTAAATTGAGTGTTTCCTGCACAAACCAGGCAGTGGAGACTGGTTACTTTTCCATTGCAAGGCACTGGTTGCTGGAGTCAGTATGTACCAGTGCTTGCTGCTGAACAGGAAGACATGTTTATTGTTTGATTTATGAATCTCTATAACCTGTGTTTTCCTTTTCCTGTGCAGGTGCTGCTACTACATCATCTTCCTCCTCATCACCTTCCTCTAGTTCCATTACGGCTGCAGTTATGTTAACGTTAGCAGAACCATCTATGTCAAGTTCATCACAGAATGGAATGTCAGTTGAGTGCAGGTGACAGCAGGACTTGCCAAAGCACTTTGCACTTAATGGCTGCTGAGGGCCACTCTTTTTTTTCCTTTTTTTTTTTTTTTTTTTTCTCCCTTTTTTTTTTTCTTTTTTTTTTTTTTTTTATACTGCACAGTGGCACAAAATTCAGACAAGCACTATTTTGTATTTAAAGTTGTTTCTTGACAAGCTAACTTTGCACTTAAGTGCACTTTTATGAAGAAAAAGTACAACAAACTGCTTTTCCTCAAGCAATAATTGTTTCCAACTTGTCTGGGAATTGTAAGTCTAGTGACTCGAAGGCCTTCCACTGTGGCAAATGGAGGCTGTTCACTGCCTGTAGAGACAGGACAATAAGTATATAGTTGCTGGGGTGATCTAAATCAATGTGGTAAGGCTTACTGTATTCCCTGGTATTTTGTTAAAGCTGGAACATTTGATATTTTTCCATTTATTTATGACAAATATTGAAAATATTTTCATTTGTACAAGCTAATTGTTTTTTAACTGCTAAGTCACCTTATAGTGGCTTTAATTGTATACGTCAAGCACATCTATTCAAAACCTGCAGTTAGTAGGATGTCTGACATCAGTCCTGATAACCAAATATGAGGATTCCTTTTAAAAGAAAAAAAAAAGACTGACTAATGTTTACAGGTTTGAATTAGGCTTAAGTAGGTTACTCTGGGTTTTAAGAACCCATTAATTGGAATGAAACTACTGTACTTTGCCATTTTTCTATAAAACAGTATTTTTTTTTAATTTTGATAAAATACATTATGAAAAAGAAAGAAAATGGCTAACAAACTGTATTAAATCTTAATGTATAAAGATTGTATTCAGCCAGTTTAAAGTGTATATTTATTCATAATGGATTATAACAGGTATATTTTTGTGTTTTCTTGTAAATGTTTCTTTTCCCCTTAAAGCAACAAATATTTCATTTGTAATGCTTATTTTATTATGAGCTTCTAGGAGAGGACTTCAAGAGGGAGTAAGGTGTGAGGTTATAATTTGTGGTTGCTGATACCAACACTGCCACAAAAGGGTAGTTGTTTTTAAAATAACTAGCTAGCCGAGTGGTAGATGTTTAATTTTTTAAATGCCTTGTACAAATTCCAAAACCAACTTCAAAATGTTTTCACTTGTATTGATTTTATGTTGAATGGATCCCAAGCTCTCTCCTGTTAATTCTATACCTTTGTAAGACATTTGTATATTGCGGAAGTGTTCATTCAAGCTATTTAATACCTGGCACTGTTAATACACAGTACTTTATTGTACAGATTGTTTTACTGTTTTAATTGTAGTTCTGTGTACTTCTTTTGCCTGGGGAAATAGGGGCTGGCATGTTTTTCTTTGTTTTCTGGCAATACAACATGTAAGAATTTGAAGCATTTTGTTTGTAGATGCTAGAGTGTCAGAATCCTTATCATTTGACTTTTCTAAGAAAAGCATTTTCAGTCTTCGTAGTGTGCGCTTAAGGTTATAACTGATTTTATTGAAAATGGTTTCAAAGTATTCAGAATTGTACAGGACTGTAAAAATTTGTTGACAGACATTGAAGGAAAAGCTTATAGAGAAAAGCTATAAAATATATATTAGGTTCTGCAGAAAATTGAGAGTTATGTAATATATTGTACAAATGTAAGCAAAGGCCTCTGAAATAAAATGCCATAGTTTGTGAATCCCTGATTTTGTTTCTAACAGTTTAATTAAGCAACTATAGTGTGTTCATGAAAATTACATCAAGCTGCAGAATTAGTTTAGGAAATGATCTTCGGTGTAATGGACATAGAAAGGTAAGATAGAGCATGTGCATTTGCCTAACTTTCTTCTTAGTGATTAAGTCAAATCCATCCTCTTTTTTCAGCAGAAGGCAAAAGCATGGCCCATCATTAAGGCAGAGCCAGTTGAAGCAAACTCCTGGCTGGAGTTCAGGTGACTGAAATACTGTTACACTGCAAGATGACAGATTACTGATGAGACTGACAGTAGCAACCCATGACAAATAAGCTTTGGAAACACTGACTGTGTTAAAAATTACAATGATCCAAAACTGACGGGTAATTTTAATATTTTCAGTGAAGCTACTGAGAGCATATTTTCATCAGTTTAAGTTTAGTGGAATCTGGGTCATGGTAGTTCAGTTCTACTTTTCAGTTTCAGTAGGAATAAGGGGAATGGATGTAACTGGGAACTACTTACGGGCAAGCAAGATTCAAATTCGGCTCTTCAGTCACGACTAGTTCTTGATCAGCTCTCAGTTTTAGTGTCAGCGTATTTGCTTTGATGTGACAATTACTGACTGATCCGGTGGGGGATTTGTTTACCTTTTTAAAACAGGGATTATTGGTCATCTCCCTGCTCCTAAGTCGAGTTTTTGCATAAATAGGATTTTTGATTTTCCATGATACAGAGATTATTTCATTTTCATTATATTCTGATGAATCTCCAGATTCATGGAACCACTTGTCTCCGAGTAAGTAACAAAGATACCTTTGTCAAACTGTTAGCCAGGCAGTTTTATCCCATGTTTCAGTGGGTCCAATTTGAATTGGTTTTCAAGGTACATCCTGTACGCAGCTTTACACGTGGGCGCGTTCCCTGCCTGGCATGTGCACTCTGCTTGCAGCTGAGGCAGTGTGCCACTAGCAATGCCTGCTGGGCTGTGCCCACACTCCTGAGGCCTGCTTGGACCATGAACCCAAAGGCAAAGCAAGGCTGTGTTCTCTCTACAGCACCCCTGGCTGTGTTCTCTACACCTTGGCTGAGGCACAGACTCAGGTTTGTGTGTCCCACAATTGATCGTGTTGGGAACAGCTGAGATCACCATATGCTGAGGGAACACATGCCTTATTTGAAGGCTCTGCAGTGCTCCACCTCCCCTTATTTGCAGTCTCCACTGATACCTGCCCATATTCATGACTGGGTAATTCCCATCGCACTGTGGAATCTTCCTGTTGGGACAGGGATTGAACTCTCTCTTAGGCAGAGTTCCTGAAGGCTGTATGCCTCTTGCCAAGTTTCAAGTGGCCACGAGTCTCTGAAATGCATTGGATGATGGTTGAGGCTGTTCTGCCCTCCTGTGTCACTACAGTGCTGCTCTTCTGTGTGAAGACAGATTGGAAAAGCCACTACAAGTCATGTAGCAGCCAGCTGCCCCTTTTCAAGGATTTGTGTATTCTCTTGGGCTGACCTTACCCATTAGGGCACTACCTCTCCTGGCATCCAGCAGGCAAGGCAGGGGTGATACCTGGTGCATGCGTCAACACCAAGACTTCTGCTCAAAAGCTGGGTTGCTTGTTTAGCCTTTGGTTGGATGCTGGTGGCAACAGAGCTGCTTACAGTGGCAGCTCAAAAAGTGCATCAAATGTGTAACAAGACAGCCAGAGTGCTGTCAGCTTTGCTTCAGCTCCCCTTGGAACTGAGGGTGCTGGGAAATCAGTGGGACAGTCTCTCCTCACTGAATCAATCACCTTGGAAAATACCTCTGAGATCATCAAGTCCAATATATGACCAAACACCTAGACATGGTACTAAGGACCATGTCCAGTTTTTCCTTAAACTCGGGCACGGTGACTCCGCTGCCTCCCTGGCAATCCGTTCCAATATCTAATCATCCTTTCTGTAAAGAAATTCCTCCTCACGTTCGACCTCAGCCTCCCCTGGCACAGCGTCAGACTGTGTCCGTCCGGTCCTGGTGGAAGTCTCCAGGGTGCCGCCGCGCCCACGCGCGCCGGGAGCAGCTCGCGGCCCGCGGCTGCGGGGCGGTGCCGGGACCGCCTCCCGGGCCGCGCATGGGAAGTGACGCGCTGAGCCCGTTCTGCCGCGCTCCGTGCCCGCCATGGGGCCGCGGCGGCGAGCGGCGGCCGAGGGGCAGGAGGGGCAGTTGGTGCTGCAGGAGGAGCAGTACGTGCTGGGGCAGGTGTCGGGCAGCCTCGGGGCCACCGCCGCGCCCCTCGCCCGCCTGTTCCGCGCCGCCGCCCCGCCGGTGCTGGTGGCTGTGCCGCGGGTGAGTGAGCGAGCGAGCGCCGGGGCGGCGCGGTGCGAGCGCGGCGGGGCGGCTGTCGGCTGCACCGCTGCCCGCAGCTGTCGGCCTCGGGCAGTGGCGCTCCAAATAAGTTGTAGTGTGCGAAGTAACTTCAGGGCGTTCTTGGAATTTTGTCCTTCAAGTCTGATTCTCTTACCACTTTTTTTTAAGGGAAAGAAGAAAAGGAAGCGTGCAGAAGAAGGGGAGAAAGTGTCAGAAGACCAGAGCTTATCCAACATACAAGAAACTCCAGTAAAAGCAAAGAAGGCCAGAAAAAAGGAACGTTCAGAGGCAGAGAAAAAACTGTCAGAGAGGTGAGGTGACACCGTTTTATAGTTAACTTAAAGCATCTACGTTAATTGTCATATGAATTCAATGAACCAAGGCAGTTCTCATCTACTACTCATCTTCAGCTTGGTGCTTAAAATTATTTTTAAGGTTGCGCAGATTTTCTGTAGTTTTCTCCTGAAGGAGGAACTAGTGCAGCTTCTTGAAACAGTAGGTCTGTGAAGTGCAAATGCCCTGCTAGAGAGCCATCAACTCCAGCGGTTGAAGACACGTGGATGTAATTCTCTCTGGCTCGAAGAGATGCTTTCTGGCTGTCCTTGGCTTTATCCAGCCGAGTTGCTTTCAGCAGGAGCGAGGTGCCAGGCACAGAGCTGTCTGTGTCCCACTGGGCCTCTGCAGTGACACAGAACCTCTCTGTGACTGTTCTCTTAAATACTTGAAGCGAGGTGCTTCAGAGCAGGCTGGAGGCTGCTCACTCAACAGTGCACTTTGGATAATAAAGCAAACTTGATTGTAGCACAAGGCTAACCCCTCATCCTGTCCCTGGGCCCATGGAACCTGTTTTCTGTGATTGTAGCCTTATGGAGGCTCCTTCAGATCTGCTCATTGTTTGTGCTCTTACAGCAGGTTTGGATAGAGAGAGACCTGTTAGTGCATAGCTGTATTCCAGAGGTTTGTTCTGAGTCTCCTGCATACTCAGAATGATTAAATCTATTCTAAGTTCCAGCATAACACAAAGATCATTTTTTCCCTTCAATTTTAGAGGCTATAAAATTTAGTTGTGAAGTATTTCTGTATTATTACTGGTAGATAGTGAATGCAGTGTCCTGAGGACAGCAAATAGTTTTTCATGTTACTGAATGGTAAGATACATTTTTTAAATACAGAATAAACGAAATAATATTTGAAATTTTAGAGTAGAAAGTAATAATTTCAAATGTAAGTTAAAATATATTGAAGGCTTCAGTTCTTGGCCCCCCAAATACCCTCTTTTTTTCCCATCAGTTGTAACCTGTCTGTTTGTTTCTGGTCAGAGAGAATGCTTTGGAGCAGGCAGATGAAGAGGAGGATCAAAAATTGCTTCAAAACAAAGTGAAACAAAAGCAAAAGGCTTCTCGAGCCAAAAGTGTTGTTAATTCAGCTACGGGTGCAACTGCAAAACAGCAAAAGAGAAGAAGGGTGGCTGATAAAGCAGCAGACAGAAGAACGGTGTTTGTTGGAAACTTGCCTGTCAGCTGCACTGTTCAGGTATGTGGATGGGTTCTGCCTACTAAAGGAATAAAAGGAGTTGCAGCAGTCCTCAGTTTGAGGGATGTTTCCAGCTAGGAAGTCACACACGCTTGTGATTGGAACTGCTTTTTGGAAAGTAGGAAATGGTGCTTGTTCTCAGAAACCATTAGAGACAATCTCTGGTTTCCTGGAGCTGGGATTCCTGCAACAGTGGATGTAGTGACTTTCTTGAGCAGAATTGGTCAGTTCCTTGAGAAGAAAAAATTACTGAATAAATGAGAACTGCATTTACAAAGTTGCTCTGCTTCTAATTTTGTATGCAAACAGTGCTTCAGATTGTTACATAAAACAAATTTATACTTTCTTCCATAGTAAGAGGCACAACCTCAGTTTTGGCAATCTGTAGAAGAAGCTGCCACAAAAACCACAGAAATAGTTACAAATTACTTGAGATAATTTTAGTAGCCCATTAAGGGACCTCCTATAAGTAAAAGGAAAACAGTGTAAGAATAGTATTACGTATAAATACTAAAAAATAATTCTCATTACCAGGTTGAAAAGTGTACTGAGTGTTTGCAATATCATCTCTTTAGGTACTGACATCTCTTTTTAAGAAATATGGACAAATCCAATCCATTCGCTTCCGGTCTCTGGTATGTTATTTCCTTTAATGTTATATAACTAAATTATTTGTTGATGTTAAAGGACAGTAGTATTTGTAAGACTTGTACCTTCATTAGTTCAGAAGTGGTTTGGGGTATGTAAGGTTTGCTATTAAAAGAAGTCTTGGAGATGTTACCCCAGGAGCACCTCAGATGCATTTTTCCTGTAGCAGCAGCTGATCCAGGATCAGAGCTTTATGTTCTCTGAAAGTGGAATGCCTTTACTACTGCTGGCTGAGGCACTGCTCACCTGTTTTTAAATCATAGCAGCAAAGACACATTATTGTAAATCAGAGTACTCACTAAAATAGTTGATGATAACCCTCTTGGAACTCAAGAAACATATCGGACAAATTCAAGGCAAGCTCCTTAACTCTTGGTTTTTTAGACCACCTCTAGGTCCAGCTACTTCTGTCATTTGCTCACTGTTCTGGCTGTGTTGCTTTGGGTGGCCCCTGCTTGAATTAATCTTTTTCTTATGGGAAAAATCTTTGTGATAAATTAACCCTAGGCCCGCCTAACTCAAGCTCTTTTTGTCTTTAAGATTCCAGCAGAAGATACTGTATCCAAAAAGGTAGCAGCAATCAAGTAGGTTCCCCCTTTTGAATTTTGTGTATTTTTTCAAGGCCTAAACAATGTTTAAGTGTTGGTCATTAAAAGTTTGTCTGTATTAGGTCTTTTTTATGTATTTTGTGTTTCTTTGTCCTTTGTCATTACCTTTGTGTGTATTTAGTTTTCTCAAAAAGTAATAAAGACTTGTGTGCCATGTATACTTGTAATTTGTTACCTGAGGTTGCATTTCTTATATTTTGGGAAGGAGGAAGATGCTCAAAGTCTTTAATTTCTTGGGATATGTTTATGAGCTGAGGAAGCTTACTCAGGATGCATATATGGGCTGAACAAGATGTACAGTGGGACTCCCTTGCATGTACAGGGGCAGCTTGACCTGCAAGAGAAATGAAGTTGTTCATGTGGGCAGAACAAGCAGAGGCAGGAAGGTGTTCAGCAGGAAGTGTCTGTGCACTGCACAGCATCAGCAGGATTTAAGCAGTAACTGGTCCTTTTCCCGTTCCAGGCATAAGGTGCACCCGAATGCAAAGTCCATCAATGCTTATGTGGTCTTTAAGGAAGAATGTGATGCCCAGAACGCTCTGAAGGAGTAAGTCTCAGTTTTGTTCCACATACCCTGTTGAAGAGGTAGTTCATAGATTTATTGCTGAATGTAAACAACCTCCCCTCTTTTGCTTGAATCAGAATAAAATGTTGTTCAAACTTGAAAGTAACTTTGCTATTGGAATTACTACTATGGAGTGACATTGTCAATTAAGCAATGCTTATTTCACTTTTAAAACCTTTTGTTTTTGACCACAAAAGGAATGGAACAGAAATTGCTAGTGGATTTCACATCAGAGTTGACACTACATCTAAAACCAGTTCGGTAAGGAAAGTGTGTGGCTAGAAATCTCCTTTTCTGGTTTGGTTGTGGGGTTTTTATTGTTTTTGGTTGGTTGGTTTGGTTTTTCTGTAGCAAATAACTTACTATCCTGTCTCTCTTGTTCCCTTTAGCATGACAATAAACGATCTATATTCTTGGGAAATCTTTCATATGGTAAGTCTGAAATGGATTGTTCTGCATCATTAATTTGCATTTATGAAATAGTAGACATTAGGCTTTTTATTTCTTGGTATTAGATGGATAAATACCTTTCACTGGAGGTAATTTTTATTTGTTAATTGAAACACCTAAAGGGGTTGTAAGTTTCAGTCCAGTTCTGCACCTTGATTGTTTCCTTTACTGTAGGCAGCGCTGCAAGTGCTTTTAGTGCTTCACGTTTTTCAAATGAATATGACTAAGTTGCATAGGCCATGGCTCTAAACTGTTCAAGGGTTACCAATACCAGTTGGTGAACCGATTCCAGGTGATGGACAGTGATGGCTTCTCCTTTTGGTGCTTTCTGTGAACTACAGTCTGAGTGACTCTGTCCAGGCAAGGCTAAAAGTGGGATTTGATGATCCTTGTGGGTCAGTTTCAACTCAGAATATTCTGTGATTGTGTGATTTGCTGTGCTCTGAAATTACTTCAGCAGCTCATACCTTTCTCAGCATGTCTAGGTCCCATTGCTGTAGTTAAACCCATACTGTTGAGTTCAGCCCCTCCCCTCAGCAGAGAGATGTTTATGTCTACAGCAGGGGATTCCCTGAAGCGTACTGCACAAGAAAAGAAAATAACCTGTATTTTTGTGATGGCACATCACGTTTGTCCACCTAGGCATGAGATGGAGAAATGCTCATACATCTAGCCATTATCAGAATAATTGCATAGCAGCTGTGGTTGGAAACTGTAAATCCCTTCTTACCCATTCAGCTAAAATTCATGGCTCAGTCAATGAGCAGTTGAAGAACTGCCAGCTCAAGCTCATTATCTTCAGCATTAATTCTTAGAAAGAAATTCTGGCATAAGGAGGAACTACAAAAATGTATAGTAGAATTCTTAATTTCTACTGTGTTCCTAGCATAAATGAAATAATTTGAAAAATGTATTTCAGTCTTTGCCTTAGTTCTTTGTGATTTATGTTGTACTCTTCAGAGCTGGAGAAGCAGTAACTGTCAGAGCAAATAGCTCTTCATAAAGTCTTCATTGTCAGCTTGCTGGGATCTTTCTGAATCATGGTTATTTGTCCATATCGTTTGTGTCCCTGTATGGGTAAATGTGAAATTACTGAATGTGGGCCAGGCTTTCAAAGCTGTGTGTCTCCCTGAAGAGGCATCTATTGTGTTGTGTTGCCCGCAGACATCCGCGATGACGCCGTGCGGGAGCACTTCCAGGTCTGCGGAGACATCGTGGGAGTGCGAGTGGTGAGAGACAGGAGGACGGGCCTGGGGAAAGGCTTCGGCTACGTCCTCTTTGAGGTACGTGTGAGCCTTTGAGGTGTGTGTGAGCCTTTGAGGTGTGTGCTCTGGTGCACGGGGAGCTCTTCAAAACCTGCACTGGGGTCTGCCCTCAGAGCATTTTTATTTTCTTTTCAGTAATTTTTTGAGGTTTGTGTGTGTGTGCAGGTAGGAAGTTGAATGGTGGCGTCGTTGTGTATGGTGGAAGCAGCTTGGAAGACTGGTTCTGTGCAAGCAGATACAAACCAAAATATTTTAGGTGTACACACTGGGGTGAAAGAAGTGATTTTACCTTAAAGACTTAACAGAGGGACAGATGAGTTAGTTTGGTATAACTTCAATGTTCTCCCATTTCTTACATGTCAGAATGTGAGTGGAATTCTTTCCTGCAGCTGGTTTGCTTACTGGTTCTCCACTTTGATTCAGCACAACTTCCTTTCTCATGCCAGTCTCTCACCCTCATTTTCCCTTAGTTCATTCCTGCAGCCCAGTGCCTTTTTTCCCAATTTTCCTTGTCTCTCTCTGCCTCAGACCTTAGTGTCTCATTGTAAGCTGTTTCATAGCCTGTTTTCAAGTGTCTGTGCCTCAGTGTGTGGGCTGTGCTGGTGTTCCTGAGCAGAGATGTTGTGTCATTCCCTAAGTAGAGCAGTTTGAGTGCTCTGCATTGTAAAATCCTGCCTCCCAGTTTTAAAGGCAGGTAACTGTCTTTGTTTGAAAGCACTCAGCTAGAAGTAATGCTGCTTTTAAAGTGGTTGTCGGGTTTTGTAGAACACAGATGCTGTACATCTTGCTCTGAAACTCAACAACTCGGTTCTGATGGGAAGGAAGATACGAGTGCAGCGTATAGAGGACAAGAGGAAAGCACAGAAAAGTCTGGACCAGTCTCGCGCTCCCAAGGACAGAGTTGATAAGAAGAAGAAAAAAGAAAAGAGCTGCTCTAACGATTCTTTTGTTGGTGAAAAAGCAAACCCATTAAAGAAGAGCATAAAACCAAAAAGACCAAAAACTACTCCTAAGAGTAAAGCTGGGAAAAACAAACAGTCCTTTGATAAAAAATAATCCCATAAAAATGCTGATTAGTGTTATGAAGATGGATATGTATGAGAGTGGTTTTTTATGTGAGAGTGTCATAAATTTTTTTTGCTAATATGGCTGTTGTCCTTATTGGTTTTTGTTTTGGGGCATTTGGCTTCTCCTAGAAGGCAGCAGGAGGTGCTGCATGATTTTATTCCTGTGTTCCAGGAATCTTCTCCAGCTGAGGTCTTGCTGCAGAGGCTAACTGTGAATTCTCTTTTTCTGGAGTTGTGTAGCCACAACGGTTATAGAAAAAAATGACTCACGTTCAGACTGGGTCTGTGATGAAATAAAAATTGTTACCTTGATTTGGGTGGGTTTTTTGTTGTGAGAGAAGGGGCAGTGGAGCTGGGATTTGATGATCTTTGTGGGTGAGGGGTTTGGGAGCACATGAGGCTTTGGGAGTCTTATGAGGAGCGGCTGGGGAAGCTGGAGATTTAGCCTGGAGCAAAGGAAGGTGCTGCCACATGAAAGGATGCTGTAGCCAGGTGGGGGCCAGTCTCTTCTCCCAGACCGCAAGGGACAGGATGACAGGACAGAGCCTCAAGCTGTTCAAGGAGAGGTTCAGGCTGGACATGAGAAATTTCTTCAGAAAGGGCAATCAGACATCGGATGGGCTGCGCAGGGCAGGGCGGTGGTGGAGTCACCATCTCTGGAGGAGTTTAAGGGAAGCCTGAGTGGCGCTGAGTGCCCTGAGCCGACGGTGCTGGGTCGGGCAGGACGCGGCGATGATCCCAGGGCCGTTTCCCGGGATCCCGCTCCGCTCCCGCCCCTCGCGGCTGCGGCCCCGCCCCTCGGCCCGCGCATGCGCCCGGCCTGCGCCGGCAGTGCGGATGCGCCGTGCGCGGCGCGGGCTGATGACGTGACCGGAAGCGAGGAGGGTCCTTCGGCGCTGCCCGCCCGCCCAAGGTGCCTGCGGAGCTCGCGCGGCGGGAGCGGCGGCGGCGCCATGATGGTGGGCAGGACCAGCGCCATCGCCGCGGGGCTCTGCGGGGCGCTCTTCATCGGCTACTGCATCTACTTCGACCGCAAGAGGCGGAGCGACCCCAATTTCAAGAACCGGCTGCGGGAGCGTGAGTGTCCCGGGGCGCCCCCGTCCCGTCCCGTCGCGGCGCCGCGCGCTGCCCCGGCGCTCCCGTTTCCCCCCGGGCAGCAGCGCGTGCTCCCGCCGCAGCGCCGCCCCCGGGCCCGGCCGGCACCTCGGCCCCGGCCCCGCCGGCTCTGCGGCCTCTCGCGTCCCCTCAGCGAAGCAGGGGCCGGGCACAGCAGCAGAACCACAGAGCTGCAAGGCGCCTTCCAGTCCCGGCAGCCGCCCGCCCAGCGCCGCCACCCACTGCATCCCCTGCCGCGCTCACTGGCATCGCCCGGTCCCCTCTGCACCTCCCTGGGCAGCCTGTTCCCACGCCCGGCCACCCTAACGCTGCAAAAGATTCTTTCTAGCGTCCCAGCTGAATCTCCCATGTCCCAGCTGAAGGCCGTTTTCTCTGGTCCTCTCGCTGCAGGCATGGTAGAAGAGAGTGTTCCCCCCCTCGCTACAGCCTCCATTCAGGTGGTTCTAGACAGGGCATCCCATCAGAGAGCATTTGCTGTAGCTGTTGGGTAGCCTGTGGTTTGCGTCCAGGCTTGGTTCAAATTCACCTCCCCCCTGCTTTTTTTCTTGTCGAATCTTGCTCTCCTACAGGCTCAGCAGTGCTGTTGTAGCCCCCACATTTACGTGGTGACGCTTTTTTTTTTCTTTTTTGCGTTTGGAACACGAGCAGGTAAAAGAGTGTGATCTCTTACAGTGAAGTTGTTGCTGTGGTGAGACAGGGGTCGGTGGCAGCCCTCAGGTGTTCTATCAGCTGCATTCCAAACCCTCCTGGCAGCCCTGCCATTGGCTTCCAGGATAAGAATGAATGCCAGAGAAAACTGTTGATTAATCCAAGATGAAGAGCTCTTCTCCCATGGCTCTTCATTATTTCACGTCTTCAACATTTATTTAAACGTTTTAATAATCAGTGAGGGTTTTAAATGCAAATGTAGGCATGAGTAGTGAAGGAACACAAATGAATCATGAGCAGTAAGGTGATACTTTTTATACTGAGTTATTTCTGTCAGGGTACTATGTATATTATTCCTTTGTTAACTAATCTGAAGATAAAGAAGTTATCATCAACGTAAATTTTCCTGGCAAGTAAACATGATGTGATCAGTAGTTTCATGGATGGAAAAGTCAATAACTAGACTGGTTGAAAATGAGTATTTACCTGATAGCATTAAAATGTAGTTTAACAGCTTTGGTTCTGCCTTCATGGATTGAATTTGCATGTCCAGTGTTGTTGCTTAGCGGTGCATTAATTGTGCTTTCCAAAATTTCCTCTACAGCAAAATGGGTCTGTCAGATATTTCAGCTTCAGGCCCTCACTCCTGTGTGTAGGATTTTGGGCACCTCTTGTGTGTGTTCCAAGTCCTCTTTTCCCTGCAGTACAAGTCATTAATTGGGAAATTTTAGTGGAGTTAACTAAGCCAGGTATGTGCTTGGTTTGCACAAGCAAACTCAGTTTTTGGCAACATAATCAGCCATGGGATTTTTTATGATGCCAAATACGCAGTAGGAGAAGCACTGAATTATGTAAGGCTTTTGCAGAAGCACCAAAAATTATTCTTGGATTCCATGTTTCCATAATCTGAGCCTTTATCCAGTCATGTTCTGAATAAACCTTAGAACTGCTCTGTTTAAGAATTGACATTAACTTTGAAGTGGAAATCAAATGCATTTTGATTTGGTAGGAGGCTGCAGTTGTGATTTGGGGGACTTCATTGTAGGACTTACAGTGATGCATGTGATGCACTGGTCTGCATTTAGTTGTAAGGCTTTGGGTAATTTGTTTTGGTTGTTTTTGGTAGTGTAACAGATTATTTAGTATGGATGCTTCAGTGGTGCCAGGGATCAGGGTATTACAGCATTTTTACTGTTTGGTAGGCAAGGACGGCTTGGGCTGTAAAATACTTGACCAGGAAAGGTTCAGTGCAGCAGCCAGCTGTAGTTCTTTATGTAAAGATGCTCCATGTGTTGTGCAATAGTGGGGATATGGGATGGAAAGCTTGGAGAAACCACCTTTGTAGCACATCTTTTCCAGTAACCTTCTTAGGGTGATCCTTTTCAGCCTCTGTGATGCAGTGTCACCAGAATTTGGGAAGGACAAGGGACCTAAACTGTCAGTGGATTGCCTCTTGTATTTTGTCAAGCACATGCTGACAAATGAAGAACCAGTTGGGTTTTGTGCCATCTCTGTGTGCTGTGTTTGGGCCAAAGTTTACATTGCAAAGGCCTCTCATAAAAATGAGGCGGCCAGATTTAGGTCTCTGGGAAAAATATTCCTTGGAAGTTTCTGGAAGGCTTACAGAACTACTGGACTTTGATTTTCCACATGTTTTAATCTTACTTAGCAGGTTTTGTGGGTGGACTTCTTTGTTTGGGTTTTTTTTCTTAGGTCTTCTTGTTGCTAGTTTGGGGGCATGTCCATATTTAGTCTTGGGACCAAAATATGGCAAAGCTGTAAACATCTGTAGCTGGTGAGCTTCTCAGGCTGTATTTTATTAATAAAATAGTTCAGGTACGTTTACTATTTGCCTTCTTAAATGAGTAAAACAGAAGTGCTCTGCTTTAAAATATAGACACACATGTCTTTGTTCAGAGACAGCCAGAATTTCTGACCATGCTGAATTTTGCCCCAGTGTGCCTTCTGCCTGGACAGCAGAGGGAGGGGAGGGCAGTAGGCAGACTTCACTGATGAGAGCTGAAAATGCAGGTGGCTTTTTGGGTTTTCTGCTCCTTTCTGGAACTGGTTAGGAAGCTGCTGGGGCTACTCAGGGGCTTTTGCAACCCGTGCCAGCAGCACAGGTCATCCATTGGTTCTCTTTTGGAACTTGTACCCTTGTACAAGAGCTGTGCCTGGGGGGCCGGCACTGTGACAGCTGCAGGTTCGCTTTGTGCTTTGGATGCATGCACTGCGTTTCTGTGCTAATAAAGATTCGTTCTACAAAATATTGCCTTTCCCTTTCCAAGATGGGATTATCTCTTTAGAATAGAAGGCAGTATTTCATGTTCCTGGAGGTCCCCGAGGGAAAAACCTGGGGGATTTTTTAGGTATGGGGTGGGATTTTTTTATTTGTGTTTTTTTGAGGTTTTTTTACCCCTCAAAGCCATTGTTTTTTGTTCGTCATATTAGAAATGTACCTTTTGGTTGTTAATGCAAAGATACTTTGACACTAGTATTCCTTCCCAACCAGTATGGGAAGAATTCATTAGTATACTTTAGAGTCACTTGGGTTTTTTAGTTGTTTCAGCTAGTGAACTTTTAAAGAGCCTATGTATTCCTTCATTATTTTCAGGTTAAAGTATATGATTTCAAATCAGTGTGATCAGTGGTCAAAAGCTTTCATTAGTTCGAATTACCAGCATGTCTTTTGTTCTTTATTTCAGAATGCTTAACCTGGTGAATGATACCTTTTGTTATATTTAAATAAGAAGGTATCATAGTCATGCTAAAAAACCACAATTTTCTTCTCAAAATGATGTACAAAAGTTAATCTGTTGCTCTCTGTAGATCTTTTGGGTAGGAGGTTGCATTTTTGCTGAATGCGCTGCGGCTGCAAGGTGGCTTTTTTGATAGTAAAACATTTCAAATGTTAAGTTTTTTAGAATTGAATCTTTACAATTTTATCTATTATCAAAACTACTTGTTTGCATAGTTGTGCAAGTTAAAGTTTTGTGCAAATTAATGTTTCTGAAAAGTTGGAGTGAGCTAATTGAAGCACTAACTTTCAAGATGAATTCTTTACTATTGAAACCCTCCAAAAATATAAAATTGTAACATATTAGAGTTCTATCCAACACATTTTTCCATCTATAGTGTAAATTAACATGCAAAAGTCAGTTAGTTGTAGAAATCTAGGTTCTAAGTGTTATTAGGATGGTGTATTAAGGTAAAAAGGTGTTCCATCTAGTTAGAATGTGAACTCCCTTTCTGTGAAGAGCACAATCTTTTCAGTAAATGCCATGTGTTAGATTATCCGTATACTAGGGAATAGTATTCCTGACTGAATTCACCATGTGGACAATTCAAAATTTTTAATTACTGGGTAAAACTGCTAGTCATATCTGGAAGTATTTCCAACTTGTAAAATTGTTTCAAAAGAAAAATCAGTGCTGTGTGACAGTTGTTCTTTGTCAGTACAGGAGTTTTCTGAGCAGACGCTGAGGTCAAAGAGTGGAAGGACAGTGTAACCATAGGCTGTATTCAGAGGTTTTATTGGTGTAACTATTTCAGTTGATGAACTGAAGATTTACATAAATGATTATTCCAAGGAAATTGCCAGTATAATTAGTATAATTATTTTTTCTTGTACAAAGAACTGCTACTATAAAGGTATCTTTATACCTGCCTAGCTGCATTAAAAGCAACTTTAATTTTAATTACATTAGTTTTGCTGAAGTGGTACAGCTTCATGTAGCAGACCAACTTTTTGCCTTTAGGTAGGCAGTTAAGTCTGTAAATGTTTGTTCCATCTGTAAATGTTTGCTTTTCTCAGGTTTCAGAAACATATGCTTTAGTATCCCTCTTGCTGAAGGATGGTGAGACACTGCCATTTATTAACTAGTTCCCAAGTCTGTGCTATAAAGTAGCTGAGAAAGTGCACTGTGTGTATCTGCTGTAGCCTGCTAAAGTTCCCCTTCCTTGGTGGTGCACCATGCGGTTCAAAACTAGGTAGCTTGACTTACAGACAATTCTTATGTGGCTTATTGTTAGCACTCATGTGGATAATTCCTGTATTACTCTAATTCTCTTTGCTGCTGTGTGCCTGCAGTGCATGAGATGTGCTGTGCCGCCCTGCTGGTGGTTGCTGTAGCCCTCAGGAGAAGAATTGCCATTTTGAGTTGGTACTACTGCCAGCCCTCATTAGACTTCTAAAAGATGCTCTGTTGCACTGAGTGGGTTGCAATCTTGTGCTTAATCTTCAGTATTTGGAATACATTACCAGTTTCTTCTTTTGAAAAGGACTTTGATTTGTTCATGGTTTCAGACTGTAATCTGAAGAGCTTTTTAATTGCAAATTGAAAATAAAAGGTGTTTTTATTCTTACAGGAAGGAAGAAACAGAAGCTTGCCAAAGAGAGAGCAGGACTTTCCAAGGTAATACTGTGATTAATAATGCAGTGCTATTTTGAAAGATGTTTCACTTGTATTATTTGTCACATTTACTTAAGGATTTGTTTTGATTCCACGATTACAAACACTTGCAAATATGCGTTCTTTAGGTTTTTTTAATGCTCAGAAATAATTGTGTGGTTGTTCCTCTTTTTGTCAGAGGAGTTATATTAGAAAGTATAACATTCACTGTGTGATTTGACAGTATTTTCCCTCTTTGTAATATAAACAAGGACTTTTCAGACTTAAAATTATTGATGGAATACACTTATAACTGAACTTGATTGGTTGTTCAATAAGTATTTGATTTGCTTTTCATTATTACCAATGGATCCAGGAAGTAAACATAAGATTTCTCTTAAAACAGTTTCAAGAAATACAGTTGATATGAACTTAATACACCTTAGAATTTATATTTGCTCCTAAATTATGTACTTAATAAACTGAGTAGAGGTATTTCAGGCTCTGTCTCTACACATTTGTGATGCAGTGTTATAAGACCTGAGTCTGATTTTTCAAAAACATTCTGAGTACTAAGTTTAACTTAGTGGTGACACTTGCTTTTTTTTGCCAGTGTCAATGTCAATAGGGTTGTCTGCATGTTTAATTTCAGTTGAGAATATTTTCTGCTAACTTTTTAGTAGCTGATGTTTAAGGGCTGATTTAACATTTACGGTGTGTATTTATAGTTGCCTGATCTGAAGGATGCTGAAGCAGTTCAGAAGTTTTTCCTTGAGGAGATTCAGCTTGGAGAGGAATTACTAGCTCAAGGTAATAATGTTTTTTTTTTCCAAAGGGTAAATTGTAAAATAATTTTTCTCTACCTTTGTTAGAAGATTATCTTTATACAACAAAAAATTCTGGGGAGTCAAGCATCTAAGAAAATCAGCATATTTGGTTCTAACCTTGTGTCTTCAGAAAGTCCATCAAGGAAGGAGAAGTGCGTAATGTGGATTGATTCACCGTAATTTAATCCACTCTTGGTGGATGTTCTATGTAAATGTGTTACAGTGTAGAAGATGGTTGATTTCAAAACATTATAATTTGTCATACAGGTGAATATGAAAAAGGTGTTGATCACTTGACCAATGCCATTGCTGTATGTGGGCAGCCGCAGCAGCTACTACAAGTTCTACAGCAGACTCTTCCACCACCAGTGTTTCAAATGCTTCTAACTAAGCTCCCTACAATAAGCCAGGTATGTGAAGCATTCCCTGTTGGTCTGGTTTGGAAAAAAAAAATGAAATACTTTATCCACTGCACCAGTTTTGAGTATCAGGCTTTGTGGTTTTTTAATATGTTCAGTTAGATTTAAAGAAGCTTTATTTTTCACCCAAGTTGTTTTAAAGTGAATATGAAAATCATCATGTAACATTAATAATAGCAACCAGGATAAAATAGAAATACAAAACTTCTCATGTGTATAGGGTATGCTAAGCTCTTGGAGTAGAGGCATCTGACCACAGCTCTGGTACTAACTAAACACTCTAGATCCAGTGTTTCCCAAACACAAGTTGGGGGGGATTTGGAAAAACAGTAACTTTATTGCTTTGGGTCTTAAGGGTTCTTTTTTTTAATTTACATTTCTACAAGTGTGTGTAAATGCTGTGGTAGTTCATCAGAATGAATCTGTTGCTTTTGCTACCCTGTCGCTTCTGGGGACATCTTTAGACACAAGATGTTAACTAGCACCAGAAACTGTGACAATTTTGGAAGCTTGGGATTTTCCCTGATGATAAAAGTGTTAGTAGCTCTGTGTATAAAATGCCCTCTTGTTTCAGTCTGAGTACAGAGTAAGTAATGTTGTTAATGTGCTTGCAGGTGAATCTATTGTAAAATAAATTATATGTTTTATGTTCTTGGAAGTACAAGGGGGCTCCCTAACAGTGTTACCTGACATAAAACAGACTCAGTGCTGGGTATCAGTTGGCCCTTCTTACAGCTCAGGCCTGGCGACATTTCAGGTTAAGGTCCATATACTCAGTGGTAACACTGGAAAGTGTCAGACATGCAAGATATAAGAATTGGGGAAATGATTGAACAAAAATGTTTCCTAAGAGAACAGTGCCAGAAACCACACAGAGGTCATTACTTTAGGTTGATAGAATATTGTTCATCTGACTGGCTTTTTTAGGTATTGCACTGATTGTAATATCTGTGGAACTGACTTCAAAAACTTAAGTCAAATAGATTATAATTTTTAACTTCAGTCAGTTTGTTCAGTAATTACACTGGTTAATGTTCAGTGTAAAATTACATTGCTTGATAATCGGTTGCCTGCTGTCAATTTTATGTAATTGTGAATGAGTTTTTCTCCTTCTTACAGAGAATTGTAAATGCACAGTGCTTGGCTGAAGATGATGTTGAATGAGGTCACACCACAACGGGGGGAAAAAAGTTTTCTTACCCCAGAAGATGAGCATCAGTAGGGGGATAAAGGGGCAAACATAGTAGTTAATGGACTGTGTACCACATCGGGTTCTACCAGAGTTAAAATTAACTTTGTGTAGGTGGGTTTCGCAGGATTTTATTTATTATCCCAGTGAAAAGTGTATTTTGATAAGAATTCATTTTATAAATACACTGTGTTGAGTTATCAAAGTATCACTAACTTCATTATTAAAATACGCAGTTGTAATGTTGTACATATACAGACATAAAACTATGACCTATTAAAAACCCAATGCTCATTTTTGAAAAAACGAAGTTATGGCAATAAAGATTTATCTGCACTTGTGTGTCCCTATAGTACTACTTTAAAATCCAGAATATTTCGGTGTCAGAGCAAATGATCTAAAAATGACAACATTAAAATTTATTTTTAATGTTATGGCTGGTCTTCCAATACTTTTAATTAAGTTAAAACTTTGTGTAATTTCCTGAGAAAACAATATATGTGATCATTTAAACAGTAACAGATAACCTTAGAAGAAGATGCAAATCACAATGGTAAGAGATGACTCAGAAAGAATGACAAATCCATTTATCAGGAACAAAAACATGTATAGTGATCAGTTCAAAATTACTGGCAAACTTGAAAGCTCTGTTAATACAGGTGTCTGAAACAAAGCTGTTTGGAATAGAACCTGGGCACATTTTAAGAGCACAAAAGTGGGTGTTTTTTGGAAGGCTTGAAACTTTGCAAGATAGTTGACATTTCAGTCTGTAGTCTTCAAGACCATAGCAAATGGTTGTTAACAGTCTTTTAAAGGTATTTGCCTTAAGAAAAAAAATTGCACTGATAAAGTAAGACAATTATATCTCTAGGGTAAATAGCAAAAGCTAATGCAATTACATGTTGTACAATTTCAATATGGTATGGTGAATTTTCCTTTGCCAATGAAGACAAATAATACACAGCAGGCTCAAGTGGAGTAGGAGAAATGTACTTAGGAGAGCAAGTTTTTAATGGGTAGGATCTTCTAAATGTCAAAGCAGACTGGTTTCTGCTATTCTCTAGGTTTGTGCTATCACCACTCAGGTGGCAGAAGAAACAATTAAAAATGTAGCTTTGTCTTTTTGGCACAGTGATTGATTTTTAACTTGAGGAGAATGCTTTGAGGTGTTTTTCCTACCAGCTGACAGTACTAATGCTGCTAGATTAATAGTAAGGTATTATGTGGCATAATCTTGTAGAAGTGAGATATGTTGAGAACACTAGCCAACTCTCATTTCAGCCTGGTGCAAGTTTCTTCAAAGGCAGATTCTCCTCAGTGGTTCAGGACTTGCCTCACATGGGATTTTTGAGACGTTAAGTGGGTAGTTGATGGTGACTTAGTAGACAATACCTGGGTTTGGGAATAGAAATGGCTCTTGCTGAGTCATTCTGCTGAGATTGTTTGCTATGGAATAGGTAGTTTCCCCTTAAGCCCTTGAAAATATTATTTCCAAAGATTTGAGGTGCTATTGAAATTTTCTGTAATGTGATAAATACTGAAGTTAGTGGCTGGTATCAACAAACATCTTAAACAACTGGATGTAGTTTAATTTCTGTGCTTGAATTGTTCAAGTAGCAAGAGGTAAAACGTCGCAGACATATTCTTCAGGGGACAATGGCCAGTGTGCTCTTTTCCTTTTAATTTATTTTACAGGGTCAAAGTTATTTTGCACTTAATAAAAATTATTTTAATGAGGCTTTTTGAAGGAGTTTTTCTTTTCCCTTCTAACCCTTAAAAGTAAAAAGTAGGAATTCGTAGGTTATGCTGATAGAACTGTTACCATATTTACCTTCTGTTCTGCTGGTCATTTCAGCCTGTCTTTTTAGTTCAGCTTTTAACATTGTTTTGAGGCAAATAAAACTTCCATCCTGCTTTGAAAAAGAAAGCCAAACAGCACATGACAAAAGTAGCAGCCTTCTGTCAAACCTGAGCATTTTTCTACACTCTGTGGTATAATGATGACAATTCAAATTCACCTTTTAGCTTACAGCAAAGCTCTCCTGATCTGTGTTTCAGCAAACCCGTGTCAATTCTGATTTTGATGGAAGGCTTGGTGATACTCTCATCATATCTATAAATGGTATTTGCTGTAATAATTGACATAGACACTAGTATTGCTTTAGCATTTTTCATTTTCTTGAGCCTGCAAAGTTAGATGCAAACAAAATTTAGGACAGCATATGTTTAAATGTAGCCTTAAATGCAAATTTATTGTCATATCTGATAGCCTAGAAGTACCTGGCTAGTATGCTAGAGCAAGCTCTGATACCTGTTTTGAGTGCCTTGGACTAATAGAGTGGAATGCTGAATCCTTTTAACAAGACTGGAATTTTTTCTTCTCCCCAAATGTCCCAGTGAAGCTAATACTCTACACTTGTGGAGACTTGGAAGATATTGTCTAGAATGCAAACTTGCTGTTACTCCAAGAGCAGCAGGCTGACAGAGGTACAGCCAAGCACCCACAGTCCACAGATGTTTCAGACTCAAGTAGAGACACTGTCTTCAGACACCAGCAAAGTGCAGGTCATCAGAAACGTCGTGGTAATGATGGATGTTTCTGCATCAGCAGTAGCAATGCCATTGCATTAGCTGTGCATAGTGCTGTACATTTCGTTTCACTTATGCAAATGAAAAAAGTGTGGAAGTAATCCACAATTGCAGTTGTGGATTTGCTGCTATGGAGCTCACAGCTGCTGGAGAAGAAATTGGCAATCTTACTTTACTACAGGTTAAACTACTAGTCCTTTTCCTAGAAAGCACCATCTTCCCTTCTGTGCTTCTCCAAGGAAAAGACACTTGTTTTCAGCACTAGAAGGATTTCTTATAAAGAAACTGAGAGGTCTGTTAGTTTTATGTTGGGAAGTTTTCTGTCCTTGGTTAAGAGTATCTTAGGCAGTTTTTATAGAAAAAAAAACCCACCCAGCTAGTTTCATTATCATGCAAGACTACCTTTGATGTCTCACATTTAAGTTTTCTAGATAATGGAACCAAATCCAAAACCAGAGTGGTCAGGCACACACTGAATCATCTGGCACTAATTTCCTTTCCCTGGGGGCTGACACAATATTATTGTTGCCCTTAACATGAAAAATGGAGAAGTCCCAGCCCTGCTGTGTAGGAGGCCAGCCAGCCATCATCAAAGTAAAGCTCCAGCTATTTATGCACTCAGAAGAATCTTTCTAAAGTTTCATTTGTACATCTGTTGATGGTGTGTTTAAAGTCCCTTAGGCTGAACAGTGGCCCCACATGACTGTTGTGTTACAGTTAACATGAGTTAAACATCAAGGGAATCTTTGAAGTGGTCACTAAGTGCTTTTAGTGATTGTTTCAAAGGCATGTTGTGCTGCACACCCATGCTTCTGTGTTTTTAAATGTATGGACATAAAAAGGGCTGATGTGAAAAGAACAAAAAAAATTCTGTAAGGTTTCTGTTGTACCCAAGTTTTGGTTTGGTTTTTAGTTAGCGTGTTTACACTGACCAGCATAGCTTACAGTATTCTCTGTGCACTGACCAAAAGCCTGTTGCAAAAAGTGGAAACTTGTGCTTAATTCATGAGGACTGGGCTAGCTTTCATCAGAGCATGCCAGAAACTGAACTAGTCTGGGTAACAGTACTTGTTTTCTGCATTTATACCAAACTCAAACTTCCCAAAGAAAATGTGGATGTCCAATGCTGTTGTTCTCACAGGGCAGTTTGCCACATCCGGTGTATGAATGTGTGAGTGAAGCTGTACAAAACAGCTGGCTCTTCTGTGGTATTTTTTGTACCAAACTGTCCAACATGCTGGCACTAGATAATGGGCAGCTTTTTCGAAGTACAGTGTTTTCCATATGTTCTTGAAAAGAAAATCCATGTTCTCTCTTCTTTCCCTACAGTAGGGACTAGCTTCAAAGAATATTTACTAGATATCTTCTGATAAGCTCACTACCCTGCTTTCCAATCATTCCTGTAACTTAATAGTCCTTAACCCTTAAAGGCATCTGAGCTATAAGCTTTAGACTCCAGGCATACAGTCCTTGTTTCTGCTTCAGAAAGGTCAGGTCTGTCTTTACCAGGTTGACAGATGGATGTCCTGCAGTGCTCACTCACAATTTCATTATTTCCTTTGCACCCTGAGATATTCTCAACTCATCTGAGATGAGAGGGTGTCTGGTGGTGCTCACCCGTGGTGGGAGAGTTGCTTAACAGAGTGAGTGTTGCAGTTGTGAGTGGCTTTTGTGTATGAAATTCCTAGTGTGCATGGAGGCAGAAAACAGATGAAGTCAAATGGTTCTGCCTCTTTGCGTGTTGGACCCTTACAGCTAAAAACTGATTTGGTCACATAATCATTTCCTTGAGCAGGTCTAAATCTAAACACCAGAGGGCAGTTTTGCACACACATTTTGTGCAAGCTCACCCTGCAAAATCCTAATTTTTAGAATCTTCCTGTCTGGTGAGGTGATGCAATGCAGCATTTTGTCCACACAGATTTGGTATGGTGTATAAGACAGGCTCAGTGGAGCAGCAGTGGAATGTGTTTCTACTGATAATACCTAACTTTGGCTTTTTAAAATCTGGTGTGTTTAAATTGTTGTGATGTCATGGTTAGGAGGATTTCCCTCTTTCTCTCCATCCCTCAATACAAACTAGGTAAATAGATAAGCCAGCTGCATTGTACAACTTCAAGTCTGCAACAAAATGCAACTGCATCTGATTGCCAGGCATGCAAGAGAAGTTTTCCCTGCCCAGCTGTGATTATTCTGGGTGAGCTTTGCTAGCTGGTGAAAGGAATGCACCTTTCACAGTTAACTGCAGGAGGGGTGGAAGTGAAATCTGAATCTTGCCTGGAGTTGGACTCTGCCTGTGATGGGAGAAGAGCCAACCAAAAAAAAAAAAAAAAAGCACGATATTATAGGTTGGTGACAGGATGCATTTTCAATGCTGGTTGAATTTCAGCTGATGTTGACAAAATCTACTCACCCTGTTGTGATCCTGCAGCTGACATGAAGTGAGCTGGTCTCATACTTTGTCTCTCTCATGCATTTGAGGCAGCTGTTTGCATCGTAGCAGCACCCTGGCTCAAAACGGAATCTTTATTCCTACATCTCAAAAGTGTTTTTTCTCTGCTTCCTGGTCTTTGTTTGGGGGGTAGGTTGGGGGCGGGGGGGTAAAGTGTATGTGTACTATACAAGTAAATGGAAATTTTCCACCCTTGTAACAGTCAATCAGCATTTTTCCAAACATTCAACTTGTTAGTAAGAAATTCTTCAGTCTGCTCAACAAATGACAACATCTAGAGAAAGCTGTTTAATAAAAGATACTGTGTGAAAACCATACTTCTTCTCTTTCCTTAGGTCACTCTGGCCATGTTACACCCTGTAACATAGCCTGGAAGATACAGAAATTTGCTGTAAAAAAAACAGTATTTGCCTATTTTGGCATGTATGTAAAAGAGCATTTCCCCAGAACTCTGAAACATTAGCTGGTTAACATCTCTTGTTGTATTTAATGTTATTTAATGAGAAAGAATGTACATTCAGCTTTGATGATTAAAATTACAATGATTATTGCATGAATTTGTGAATTATAGTGCAATGACTAATTAAATGGAGAAATGAAGCAAAGGGATTCTTGAGCAAGCATGTTCTTTGAGAAACTCTCCCTTGTTGTTTTTAATTGATAGTACACACATAATCAATTCATAGAAGTATTTCATTACTGGTGGGAACAGTCTGGTTTTGATAAAGATTTACTTTCATCACACATTGACCTGGTATAATACAGCCTGGTATTGTAAGTTACTTTGAGGAAGATTGCTAGCTCCTAGCACTGAGGAGGTGGAAGTTTTTGTCTTTATAAAGAAGGGAAGCCCCATCTGACCCCAGGTTACAGCCTCATATTTATTGAGTTCTAGTCAGAGTGTTTGCTCTAATGAGACCTGAATTTGCATAACCATGAGGGGTTGCTATTTGGTTTATGTTTCATTTGTTTTTATCTCTCCATCTAAAGGTTTGAGCTTTAACATCAGATTCCTTGGCTTGTTAGAAGCTGTCTGACACAACTAAAGGCCCTTTTTTACTTCTTTGTAGGGATGTTATTTACTGGCCATTGGCACTGGCAGAATTCTTAGCATGAAATTATTATTATTTCTGTATCAGCAGAGATGTGTGTGGCACTCTGAAGAATCTGTCAAGATGAAGTCTCTGCTTCTGCAAACTCACAGCCCGTGGTCCTGATCCCATAATTTACTCTGCATGGTCCTTTCCTCATGGAAACCTAAGCAGTCAAGAGCAGGACATTGAGACAGTGACGCAGGAAGGGAGAGGTAAGGTTTAGGATAGTATGGTTGTTTTGGTAGTAACTGTCAGGTGTTTTATCTGAATTTTGTTTGAAGCTCTGAAGCTTGCTTCTTTTCTACATCACATTAATTTTAGACTAGTTGGCTAATCAGTGCTAGTTACTAGTATAATCAGGAAAAATCAGACTTCAACCAACTATAGATCGGCTTATAAATAATAAAACCTACCAAAAGAAATAAGTATTAAAGGCTCTGTAACTGAATAAATTTGAGGCACAACTTCCCCCCACAACTGAAAGTAGTAACATGAGCTGTCAAGCAAAGGTTTAATTGCTCTGCTGGCAGTCCTGCAGTTTGTAAATACCTTCTGCATTGAAAATGTAAGAAGAGAACTTTCAGAACTCTAGCTTGCTGTTGGATGGCAACTTTAAAAGGAACACTGTTCTGTCAAAACTTTGTAATCAGCCCAAACTGTAGTGCCTGAAATTCAGTGATACCATGATGCAAATAGGAAAGCTGGGTCATAGGTATTAAAGCAGTATTAAGGGAAAAAGCCTAGAAGGCAATCCAGTGAGTCAGTGTCCATCTTAGATGTTGGATTGCAAACTGAATGCTTGACAACCTGATAAAACAGTTGCAAATTGGAGAGGTACTTTACAGAGAAAAAGTTGTAGCCCAGTTTTGGACAGTTTTTAGCTGCCCATTCTTAAAAACACTGCAGCCTTCTAAAGCATGCTTTTGACCCTCCAAGTCTTGGTGGTTAGAGCAGATCTGTTGGCTCTATCCTTTTTCTAATTTGGAACTAGTTTCCAGAGAGCAGAGGAGGACATGCCTGGCAGGTTGTGTGGTAACCATGTTCAGGAAGTCAGATGATGAGACTGGTGTACCCTGCCACTCTCAAGAGCCTGGACTGCCTGGTTCTTAGTGGGAGCCTGAGCACTAAGCTTGAGCACCACTTAAGCACCTTGGCTTTTCTGGGCAACTATGGAAGTAAATGCTCATAAGTTATGTTGATTTTCTAAAGGGAACATATCCCCTGGGATGGAATGTATTGATACGGGGGCAGTGCTCTCCCCATGTTTTTGGTCATAGAATGTGAAGCAAAGAAAAAAATTGACTCCAGAGTAGAAATCCCTCTCTTATTTTGGCTTTTTCCAGAATGGTGATAGGACCTTGTCAGCTGGGAGCAGTGTTTTCTCTGCTGCATTGCCCTTGAAGATCTTCAGCAGGCCTGACAATATTTGTCATTAGACTCTAGATCATTTCAAAGATAGCTATCTCCTACCTTGGGCAGCACATTTTCAAGAAAAACAGTGATCTCACCCTGATTTTAAAGAAAAAGAGAAACAGATTGCAGTCTGACAGGACTAGCAATGGCTCAGTCAGGAATCTTCATGGTCTTTCCTTTTTTAAAATCTTGAGTATTCAAATTCTGCCTGCCCAGCTCCCGGTAATGTTGCCGGTGATTTGGGTCTCAGGGGGTGACACCACAAACTTTGTTATTAATTGATGCAGGAGTAGTTTTGTAAATTCAAATTTTGTAAATTCATAGTATATGTAGTCACCAAAGAATTTGTAGAGACTATCACTGGGTTTTTGAAGACATATTGCTGAAAGAGTAGTCTTCTGGAGCACCATTGGTTATCTTCATTTAGGGGAACTTAACTCCATTTTCCTTTTTTTCTGGATCACCACATTATTTTTTGCCAATATCAAATAATACCACACTTTGTGACATTCCTGCAGATGCAATATAGCTGTGCTCTTGTGAAGCTTCACTGGAATCAGGGACCAAAGACACAGAATTAATGATTAGCTAGACACATCATCCTTTCCCCCAGAGCCAATACAGTCTGCTGCTAATCACCTTTCAATGCCTATAAGGTGTGAGACTGCTCATTTATTTTAGTGGGAAGGGCATGTGCCATGAAGCAGAACTTTGCAGGCAGTCTTGGATGTCTGATGCAAGGCTTCTTTCATTGCTTCCCAAAATGATGGTGTCTCCTGGCAGAGTTTAGGCACTGGGAGTGTTTTTGCTTTCTGGATAAATGTAGTTCTGCTGTAGCCAGGATCTTTCAATGTAACAGTTTTCAGTGAATGTCAGAATTATCATACACCAAAGTTCTTTTTACTTTTTAACTTGCTGTGAAGATCGTACAAAAGAATTTGTAAGCTGCCCTTTGCTGGGCATCTTCTGAAGACTGAATGCCTGCCTTTTGCTGTATAAAGGGGTTGGGCTTTTCTTTTTTAAAGTGTTGAAAGGTTACATTTATTTTTTCAGAATACAGATGTAGAGGTGCATTGCAGATATACATAATGGAGTCAAATTTTCAGGGTTGTCACTGCAGATAGTATCAGGGAACACAGGTGTTTGGTCCAACATGACTGGGAACATGACCTGTCTCCATGGGACAAGGTAGTGCTCACTGTTCCTGCCAGCCCATCATTTTGCCACAGACATTCATATGATAACTGCACAAGATGATGAAGCTGTGGTAGCTTTGTGTGCAGCAGCAGTAGCAACAGCAATGGAAGATGAGAATCTGTTTGGGCCTCAGTGTAAAAAACAGCTTTTCCTAGCAAAGCCAAGTTCATCTTAAACTTCTTTATGGTGGAATTTTTCCCCTTTTTCCCTCGCCTTCCTACACCTGTCTTTTATAGACCAAGCATTTTTGCAGTTTTCAAGCTTGGCTATAAATCACGAGAAGGAAAGGGGATCCCATGTCCAGGTGTGCTGGCCAGCGGTGGGCACCGGTGCAGGAGGTTTGGGGAGCCGGCAGAGCCCCGCTGCTTTGGCTTCCAGAGCCCGTGTCGCTAGATGGCAATGTGGCACTCCTGCAGCTGCGGCTCCTGAAAAACGGCTCGCTTTTCCTGTATTTATCTCTGCCAAACTGATGATTGCACCCACCACCTCGGCAAGAGAACAGAACAAAATCATTTCATAGAACATTACAGCTGTTGTGCCTTTTTCTTTTCTTTTTTCCTTTCTTTCCCCCACAGTTCTTTGTCCCACAGCAGGGTGCAGAGGTTTAAAAACCTTCTTTCTTAATCACTCTCCTTCTAAAAACAGAGAAAACACAGCCTCTTGGGAGAAATTAGCTGTGAGAAAAGCATTTCTCAAACAATTGCCAGGAAATATTGTCTTGACCGGTATTCCTGATGTAACACTGTCGTTCTCAGTACTGTTATTCTAACATACTCAACTGAAAAAACAGCAGGATACAGATCTGTAACACATGATCTGCAGCTTACCACCTACCTTACCTTTTTATATACATTTGCTTTCAGTTTGTATCCTCCCCCCACCCCCTGCAGCTATTCTGTTTTGGAGAGTGAAGAATTATTTGTGACTCTCCTCTTGTGACTAGTGTATCAGGCCAAGACTGTGACAAGGCATAGCTGAAAATTAAGGTTATGCCTCTGCTGCTTGGTTTCCTGATTGAAATTCAGTGTTGTGTGCTGCAGAGGGGATCAAGCTTCACGCTTACAGCGATCCCTCCTAGCCTTAAAGCCTGGCAGCCTGAAAATGCGTGAGGTTGGTGAAGCCTGAATTTCAGTGGGAGCAGCTGGAGAGCAGGTATGCATGAAGAAGGGAGCAGAAATACACTGAGACTGGGATTTCAACCCTGAAAGCCCTCTCCCCATTTTTGTATTCATGGAAGATGGACCAAGCTGTAGGGTGGAGAGAGGTTGGAGGAGTGATGGTAAATTTGAAGTGCTAAAAGCCAGCGTTTTTAGGAAACTGCTAGTAGCTATACAGAGAGCTGTCTGTACACACGTGTGTGCCCACTGGCATGCACATTAGCTGTATTGTGTGGTTCAATTTTGTCCTTCCTTACATAAATTCATGGAGCTCTGAGAAGCAAGCCTTGCTCTATGGGACAGGGTGTGAACTGAAGCACCTTCTGGAAGACAGACAGCAGTGTAATCCTTTCATTCAACCATGTCTGCAGCTGCTTTTTATAAACTTGGCATAAATACATACTCAGTGAAGCCAGGCCTGTATAGCTGGAAAATATTTTCCACCATCCAAAAAAACCAGAAGATTGGAAAAAGAGCCCAGAAATTGTGCATAACATGGAATGGCCTAGCTTGTGGTTTTTTTCCATGACTTCCTCAGCTCATTTTTCTGCTGCCAATTTTAGAAGCCCATAAGTCATACTTGTTAAACTTTCTCAGTTAAAATGTAACTCTAAGAACAAAGTCATATGATATGCTGCAGCCAAATAATCCTTCCAGAGCCTCTGACTGGAGAAAAGCTACCCCGATCTGGCCAGCTCACAAACCCACGCGGGCTCCTGTCCCAGGAGAGGCAGGGCTGAGGGG